ACTGACTGGGCCATCAGTGGCTTATCTTCGGAGATCGGACGGGTTCCGGAGCTTTTCACTGTGTATGGCCGTAACTGCTAGACTTTCGAAATGCGTTTTTATAATCATTTTATCTTTGATAATAAGCATCACTTTAAAACCTTTATCAAATAATTTTTTTTTTTTATGTTTAAATATGCTTTGATTTAAATATTTCAACAAAGGTAAATATGGTCTGACACATATAATAACATAGTATTTAGATATTATTTTTAAAAGAGAATGTCTTATTAGCCAAAGCGTATAATTATACGATATTAGTATTAATATATCAAGATTGAATTTTATCAATCACTTATATACAATACTAACGCTAAGAAATAGAAAATATTGAACGTGAAAGTTACACTTTTTTTTTTGCAAAATTTGTTATCGATATAGACTATGTTCTATCCTTATCTTAAAATCTTACGCCTTACGATGTGATTTGATTAGTCAGATAATATAATGTAGTTCTGTTATTTTAATCATATATGCACTATAATGATAATAAATCTTTTTAATATTGATGTAAGGCTTTATAATTAGGACTTGTATGTTGCAAGAAGCAGATTCTAAATGGAATACATAAATATTATTAACATACCTTAAACTGATTATCGATTATGGATGTTTAATACCTTATGATTAAGAATCATAAAATCATATCAAATGTTTTTTAGAAGGCATGATAATTCTAATAATTTATAGGTTTGGAGTAAATAAGGAATAATGAATAAGGAATAATGATTCTTTTTATATTCAATTTTATTTATAAAAGTTATATTTATTCACGACTTAATTTATCTGAAATAATAATAATAATAATAATATCGAAATTTACAAATGTTGAAATGCAATCAATAAACGTAAGTGTAAAGATAATAATAATCTCATAGATATATCATTATATTGTATATAGCCTTTGTTTGAATACAAATTTAATTACTTCTGCTAATAATAAGTTCAAAAGAATTGCATAAGAAAAGTTACGATTATTCCAAGGCTTAAAAATAATCCAGCTTTAGGACTCATCATAATAGCATCAGATTTACGAGCCCTTAATAATATATAAACGATTACTTTAATACGTGTAATAACTAAAGAAATTATTATAAAAACAAAAAACTTACGATGCAACAACATTTGTGGAAGCAGGACTCATAGGAGCTTGTGTTTTATGTGAGCCTTGCGACAATGTAGGTGTAAAAGGTATTGAACTTTTTTGATCCACAGATTTCAAATTTCCATTTGTTATTGCTTTACCATTATTTACTTGATTCACACTTTTATTATCATCTTTTTTAGTTGCATCACTAGCTTTAGCACCACCTACGGGAGTTCCCTGAGCAACTTGAAACTCTCCAGAAAATTTTTCACCAGTACCATCATTTATAGCAAAAACATATGTACCGGGTTGAACACTAACTTTCCATTGAAGTCTACGAAGTGTTAGATCAAGTTGATCATTAATGGTAGTTGATTCACCAGTATTCTTGTTTTGAATTCGAAGGCTACCGAGTAAACCTGGTGATTGATCTGTAACGTCCCAACTAATTTGAATTCGGGCTCCTGTCGCGATTTTACCGATTGGTGTATTAATTACAACATCTGTTTTTTAGTGATGAAATTTTTAGGTAGATGTGTAAGATATTAAGATTAGATATTAATTAAATTATGCAGGTTTGAAATTCTTCTTTTATAATTACCTGAAGCGACAAAGGTCATGGAAATAAAGAAAATGATCACAGGGCATACAACGAAACGATTGAATCGATTCATTTTTATTAATTGAAAGAGAAAACTTAAAATTTTTAATAGAAATTTTTTTTTTAAAAAAAAGAGTTGTTTAGCTGTTCGATCGAACTGATGGTTATAAATGATAGAATTATAAGAAAACGATTCGTTTTATACTAATTCCTGGATCGAGCTAATCTCACTTTTATGGTGGCTTTTATTTGGCGTTTTTTTAAAAAGTATAAAGTTTATCAATTGTGACATTACGAAAAGACGTAAAGATCGTTGCCTAGGTCGTGAATAGTAAATTATCAATCGGGAACTTAATGAGTATGTGTTATGAATTCAATTTAATTAATAATTATTATTCTAAACCCGAAAATGTCAAGTCTATATAATTAGTCTTTGTAACTGATATGACATAAGTATTCTTTTTATCGGGAACATTCTCATTGTTCTTGTCTAAAATACTTTCGAGTGATTGATATTATTTTTGTTCATAAATAAAATAATATTGATTTATGTATTCCTTATGCTTACTGTAGACCATTGAGGAAACTTAATTTTTGAATCCTTTAGATAACTAAGATTATTTTTATTACTACTACGTTAATATATAGTTTGTCTTAAATGTTTGCTTTATTGCTTCAAACAAGGTAATAACTATAACAAAATTAGTTTTCATTTTATCGATGAAAAGCATACAAGCTGTGCATTAAACCCATTTCTCTAATCTTGTCGGCTAATAATGGTTTGCCACTGCACTTTTTTAGATTGATCTCAGCTAATTTTCAGCATATTTAAAGTAAGGATATTGCTTATACCAAGATCTTGATGGTTTTTTTTCAAAATAGAATATTGGTAGTTTAATACTGTATATTATTTTATAATTCAATTAACTCAATTCATTTGAAATTAAATAAAAGAAAAACGTTTATATCAATACATATATCAATACCAAGGTTACATTTTATAAGTTATATAACCACGTGAATACTAGAAAAAATATTTCGGTTAATTTAAGTTTTATCGTTATTATATTCATATTTCAACTTAAGAAACGTTTCGAACATCTATTCTAACTGATCATCTATTTAAGCACAAATTGGTGATAAACAATAACGATAATCCTGCGTATTTTTAAATAATCGAAGTTTTAGTTATATGTAATAAAATCGATTACATTGTAAATAAATTGATATTTTTTGCAAAATTTTATAAAATACTAAACCATTCTTCGCTATTCTTTACAATATTAAAATTATTTGAAGTTGATAAAGGATTTAAATATAAATTAATATCATCTAAAAAGTTAAATATTTTGCTAGTTGATGATTCTGGATGTTGTTCTATATTTTTTGGGGCTGGTGTTTTCAGTCTAATAAGGTCATCCTTAAAAAATTTAACCATATTTCGAAATGCCTCTAATTTTGACTGACATTCAGCGATATCTTGTGACTGTTTTATGTTAGAAATAATTGGTGAATGTATGCGTTCAGAAAGATTATCGTTATCCATAGCTTCCTTTGAATTCAAATATTCACTTAAAATTTCGGTGTAATATAATATAAGCAATCTTAAGTCAAATAAAATTCTTGACACTTCTTCAGAACTTGGCCGTTTTTTTGGATTCGGGTTCCAGCATCGTACAATGAGATCAACATATGCGGTCGGTATTTCTTCCGGAATCGGAGGCCCTGATTATACACAAGAATTGGTAAGAGTAAGATTGTAGTAATGGAATCTTGTAAAGTATTATAGTACTTACGCAAACCTTGCCAAATTGCGAGAGCAAGGTCTTTATCATGCAATTTATCAGAAAATGGCGGGCTGCCTATACCATTTCATACATTATCATTGCAAAACTGTAAATATCCGCTGTTGGTGTAATTGGACCACCTTCTAATAATTCTGGTGCTACATAAGGTAGAATGCCATAAACTTGTCCTGGAATTGTTTGCTCATTAGCCTTTAGCTTGAGTGATGCTCCGAAGTCGGCAATAACAGGTTTGCTGATATCATCATAAAGTAGGTTGCCTGAATGCAAGTCGCCATGTATCAAGCCATTGCTGTGAATTTGTAAAAGTGAGCTACTGACACACAACAGAAAACACATTCTTTCTAGCCAAAATAAATTCCAGTAATCTCGAGTAATTGATGTGCGTACATTTTCTTTGAATAACTTCATAACTATGAACGTTGCAGAAGCATCGAAAGTAATTCCAAAAATTTTTGGAGAAACCTCTTTAGCAGCTGAATAATGAGATAAGAATTCATTAGTTGACACGGGTTTCAGTACAACAAATTGAGAAGAGGCCTTTCTTTTAACAATATCCTCATTGAAATTTATGTTTTCAATTTCGCCATTTAACCATTCTGCTGTGTATACTTTGCCACTTCCGCCTTCGGCTAAAAATTTTATATTTTGCAATCTTACCCATGGGATAAACTCAAAGAATGAAGAAACACTGGTGGAGGATATATTTAACTCATGGAAATATTTGATACTACTTCGTACTTCTTTTGGTAATATTGAAATATAGTCTAATATTTCTTTCGGTAATGTTGAAATATAAATATCTTTTGCGCATGAACCACACCAATTGTTACCATTATTTTGACGCTTACAGCGCGGGCACTCTCCATAACTCATATCTTTTGGTTCTTCAAAATTTATATTCGTTAAACATAAAATGCACAATTTACTTCCATAAATTCTATGTCCACAGCTTAAATATTCAATCTTTTGATGTATTTCGTTCTCATAACTATTACTATCAGCTTCATGCTCTATTTTTGTATGTACCGAGTGGTTTTCGGAAATATAAAGTGGCCTATTTGGTAAATCTGGGTTGTCTTCTTTGTATGATGATTCACCTTTGTCAATATCCATGATATCAAATTTATCAGTATAATAGTTCACAAACTATAAGAACACGTTATAATAACGGAAGAAAATGAATAATCCCTATTTAAAAGTATGTTTTTTTTAACCTCCTTATATTTCGGAATTTGATCCATTTATTTCTGATGCACACATCTCAAAAATAGAACACATCTGTAATTTTCCGTTAAAAATTATGATATATATACAAATTAATTATTCGTTGAACGTTATTTATACATATTGTGTGAATTAACTCAAAGAAGAATAAGGAATCTCGTTGTCTCTCATCCTGTTCTACCACTGTTAAAGTGAGGGCTTACCTCATTGTATGACAATATTGGTCCATTATATTCTGAATATTTTCTTGTGCCATTATTTTTTAATAAGATGCTTACAAGCTTTATCACTTCAATAAAAATATAATAAATGAAATTGCTTTACTTTTAAATCATACTAACAATGCCAATGCAAGGCACTCGGAAAATGTGTACCAGGTTCATGGCGCAGACAAAATTCTTAAAATTCGTTAAGGTTAGTGTTAGGGTCAAGTTTAGGAGTAGATCTGGACACTCTATTTAGGAGTTAGAGGGGAGTAGTTTGTATAGTAAAGTTGTCCAATGAAAACTTTTTGCTAGAGCACAAAAGGTGGTTTTTAATGTTGATTTTTGAGTTATGAACGACTTTTGGCGGAACGAACGTGTGTTTTGAAATCTGATTCGTAGTTCAGGAGATCTGCTCCGCAAACCTGGCACACATTTCCGATGAGCTTATGTCGATATTCTGACAGCCTGATTGGACTGGGTTATTATACTAATAAATTCAGTTTTAAGGAATTAATATCTTTACAGAAACACTATCTTGGCTTCTTTTTTTTTTGAAATATCGAAATAATTAAATTGGTTTTCGAAAGTTAAAGTAACAACAAAATTCTTTATGAAATATTGCATTAATTTCTTTAAATCCTAATAACAATCAACCTGTCATTAAAAAAAGAAAATGCATTTGCATATATCGTATATCGACATAAGATACAATGAAATTCTGAACATTACGACGCATTTGTAAACTACCCTAAAATTTGATAAAGGTTGACTACTGGTAGTAAGTCGATTTAATTTGACTTCATGTATACATATCAATATGAGCCAGAGTTATAATAATTGCGAATTTAAATTATGATATACTACTGCACCCCAAATCTGACGTCTAACACATCTTCCCTGTCTTTCCACCTTTCCACTATATATGCTTAATTTCCTTAATTCACAACTGTGTCGTAATGATAAACGAATTCAATTTCTACTTAATATATTGATTTAGAATTGATCAATGATTAACGTTAATAAAACTACCTTTTTTAAATATGGTAGAATACAAGTTTCATGATACTTTATAAAATAATAGAGTGTAAGTAATTTATAAATGCGTAGTTAAATTGCGAATCCGGCCCGATCCGGTCCTAGGAGCTGAAACGAACAGCAGAGACCGTTAATGTTACACATATTAAAACTGGTGAGGGATTATATCCATCACAATTGAATCCAACATAAATAATTTAATTTGATGATTGATCACAGGCGAGAGGGATTCACTTTGGATCGGGTACTGTCTCTGAAACGACGGTCCCAGACTTGATACAAAAAACCGTTAGTTGACCGATCCTAAGACTGGATCCTAAACCGCAATTACTGAACAAGTTCCTCCAATAAAATTGATACTTAATTGTTAATCTAAATAAACGAAGATCCTGAAATTTAATCCCAATCAATTCAATCCAGGATCTAAGTCCTATATAAATTATTATGTTTTCATGTGATTTAAGGACCGAGTCCTTACAGATCCTTGAAATGATCTGAAGGATCTGTTAGGACTCGATCCCAAAGGACCGATTAACATCTCTATAAATGCGTAAAGAAAAAAGTAAAAAGGCTCGTAAGAACCCGATGTAATTTAAGAGCTTACCTTGAACACTATGAAATTTTGTATTTTAAAAGTATCTTGTAAATTCTCGACACAAGCATACATTATCAGTTAATAATGTGTGATTCAAAAATACAGTAATCTTCTTGCCTATTATTTTAAAAAAGAGATCTATTTAACCCTTGTTTTTAAATATAACCAAAAATCACCTAAAATTATATGGATAATAATCCTTATGTTAATTTACTATGTACTGTATCTAGCTATAATTAAGATTGCCAATCAAATATATTATATTCTATCGAAAGAATATAAAAATTTATTCCTAATCATGAGATTTAATCATTGAACTCTTGTTTATAGCAGCCATCTTCACAACGAGTAACTCCACAATTTGAATCAATTAATGGTGGAGTTATAGAAAGCTAACAAACATTGAAGTATCTTTGGAAATGATAGTGATATCCAGCTATTCCAAAAGCCATTCAATGCAATCTTTGTTTTCAACAAACTTTTGGCAAAAAAAGTTACGGAGTGGTGACTTTAGGTTATGCATCAATGTCTAGTGAAAATCACCTTAGTGAAATACCGTACTCTACTGACTAAGGTACCCCCGTTATAATACTCCCATGAAAAATACCCGGGTACAATTCATAGGTTCATTATTTAGAAGATTGAATAAGACCCGGGTATTATTCTAATGAAATTTTAGAAAATATTAATAAAATTACTAATAAATTTCAGAACAAAATAATTATAATTGAAAATTTAAAAATTTATAAATTCAAATGATAATTAAAATAAATATTTAAATAAATATTTTTGGTAGAAAAAAAAAACTCTTTCCCGAAAATCCTGATTTCATAGCAAAATTGGGAAAAACAAAAAATTTTTTTGAAAAAGTGAAACTAAAACATATTTTAACTAACTAACTAAGTATTAACATTAACAAACAGCACAGCACAAC